TGCAAAATTGCTAGCAAGCAAAGATCTGCACTTCCTTCACTAACTAACGACTAATTCATGCCTTCCTCCTAGTTTTCACACTTTTCGATTATTTTCACACACTGTCACATGCACTGGATTTAGTACGTCCTTTAAGTGATCGTATGTATGTTCTGTACGAGTGCTCACATTGTAAAAATGCTCTGAAAATAATACTCACGATGAAATGACAGGACTTTCTGAAGAATCGACGCTATCTACAAGAATGTGACAATCTGATAAGAGTTATTACGGCTACTACCATCAAATGCAAGTTTTGCAGCAAGATTTTTTTTTACCAAAAAAGCCGTCGTTTCGTTTCTTCGCCATTTGTGACCTTGATAAATTGACAAAAAAAGTGGTGAAAAAACCCACCTTCGGTTATGGAACCATCGCCGTCGGAATCGAAGTTGTGAAATTGCGTCTCGAGTTCTTTGAGGGTGGTGCGATGTACTGGAGGACATCGCATGTATCGAACAAATTCTTCTTTGCAGATTTTTCCAGACTCTGAAAAGGACGCCTAGAAGAGCACATAAGAGATGAAAAATGTACTTTTCTTTCTTTGTTCTTTTTTCAGTGCTTTTTTGGTCGCTGTTATATGAGCCATTCAGAGCCAAACACGTGATCTATGAACTCTTAGCGCAACATGATTGAGGAGCTTTAGGAAGTATAGCTCCGGCTGAACGAAATTCGCGAGCTAGTTAGATTTTCCGAGAAATGAGGATGCTTTCCCAAAAAAAGGTTTCGGCGATTTCTTTGCCTGGCAAGACTGGGAACTAAATAAGGAATTCTTATAAATCCACAAGAACTATTACTCTTTCATTGTTCATACAATGAAGTAGAACACTTCCCCAGCTCCGGGCAGTTTTTCTCTCACTTCAAGAGACATGGGGTATCTTTGGTTCGGCTGTTCTGACGAGGAGATTAGCGCGAAAAAGGCACGTTTGCTTGAATGTGTTCGAAAGCGGAAGAGAGCATATTGAATTTCCAAAAATTCATAGCGTTCGCTGACAGGAACTCCAATTACATGCAATACGCACACGATATCAAAATTCTTCCTCAAACAACAGGCCGAAACTTCCGCAGAATGTTTGG